CTGGAGCCCAGGCCCACAGTGAGGCATCAGGTGACTACAGCCTTGTCTGTCGGGTGTTCTGTGTCAGTTTGTAATTCTGGATACTGGTGACATTTGGGGGCAGAGGCTTAGAAAAATCCTCCCAAATACAGCAACCATTGCTATACGCAGTCATATGTTAAAAAGACCGTCCGTTTTTGCAGTTTTCTATCCTAGTTGCGAGTTCCTAACTTTCTTCTTGCTTGACAAAGGACAGCATTTCTGTTTCAAAAAACACTCTATCAACAATAAGGTAAGCAACACCCTTCAAGCTTCAGAGTGCATATCAGAAATTAACCGGACTCCAGATCAAACCATCTCACAGCAGTCTTTTACCAGTCGGTTGCGCACGAGTTCTACTTGCTTCTGGACCCAAAAACATCTGCATATGGGACCATGCCAATTTGAGCAGTAAATTCTTTAGTTTCTATTTCCTCACCCTATTTATGTTTTCAGTTGAGCATTTGGCAAATAGGAAGGTGCTTTTGGAAAATACCTTTTTTTTTCCCCAGGTTTCGTTGTGTTAAGTTAACCATCCAAAGTTAACCTATCTTCTTTTGCCTAAATCGACTTGCATATAAACAGTCCCAGAGGTTTTGGACATAACTTTACCAAGCCATGTCAGAATGAAATTTATAAACCGTAGGTCATTTCTGAACTGCTCTTCTTTGGGGACATAGTCTTTGCTGGTCTTTAAAATCAGTAAAGCTGTTCTCCAGAAAGGAAGAGTAAACAGCTGCTTGGGTTTGAAATAGGATGTTGGAAATTTAGAAGAAGCCAGGAAAGATTGGGTAAGAAGACTAGTTTAAATATATTTCTCTCTTTTTGTTAATGGATGAAACAACTGGCATTGTGCATTTAACTACTCAATTGAAACGATGACAGAGAAGATAACATTTAGGCTTATACACCTTTATCCTATGTTTTATATTGCTGTCTAGCATTTTAAAGGTCCTTGTAAGAGTAGAAAAGATTAACAGCACTGCACTGAAAAAAATATTTTTGAGACTGTTTTATTAATATATTCATACAATTAGGAGAGGGAAAATACAGTGGGGAGAGAACACAGTAGAAAAGAAAGGATAAGGGGGCAGGGCAGAAAGGAAAAGAGGAAACAGATGTTGGAACAGTGCAGAAGATAGATTATGGTGTGGTATTTAAGGAAAAGAAAGTTCTTGTTAGAAAAATAAAGCTATGAAAGAAAAAAGCTTAGCAAAGTTAGAGTTTTTAAAAAGCAGCTTGAATAAATGTTGATGGTCTTAAGTACAGAACATCTGTGTATAAAATAAATAGTTATTACTTTCTGCCTCACTAGAGAAAAAAGGAAGGTGTGAGACAGTTTTTTTTTTCAAAATTTTCCTATACAAATCTTTATGAAAGCTTTTGATGGTGAGCAGAATGGCCTGCACTTTTGTTTTTATTTTCTCCTATTTTATCCTCCATAGCCTTGTATGATTGTCTTGATCTTTATTTTATTTTATAGCCCGAGACTGAACCGTCTCGCCGATTCTTTGTTGACCAGTGGGAACTCTCCCTTAGCCTCCGTTCTTCTAATCGTCCTTCCTCACCCTCATCTGACTCTCTTCGACAGGTAGCATTAGCCTGGGCATTGCAAGGTGCACTCCACTATGTCTGCTTGCTCCACCCAGTCCCACAGCCAAGGAGATACCACCAGACTTGGCTAGGCTTGCAATGCTTCACCTGCAGAATGCAATGTCTGTGCATTTTCATGCACAGCTGAGAGGCCAGAGGCCACCTGTGGCTTAGCTAGGTTATTCTCACCTATAAAGCAGTTTGACACTGAGCGCATTTCAGATTTGATGTAAATGAAAAAGCTTCTGGTAAGTCTCACACTCAAATTGGTTCTTTTCAGTGCTGAAATTCTTCTGGCTTGGAAATAAGGCTTTTTTTTTTTTTTTTTTTTGCTTGCTGCTTTTGTTAAGATGTTGAGCATAAATACTTGAAGGAGAATATGAAACAAAGTACTTCAACTTTCTGAAAAATCACTAGGAATGTGAGCTAGCTGTAGTTGCCATACGTAAAGCAAACAACAGGAACTTGATTTGTCCTAAGTTTTGGAGTGGGTTCCTTGCCCACTCTTTAAAATGTTACAGAACATTGTAGATGTTGAAGGCCTTTGCTTAAGTAAGGAAAGACTAAAATACTTCATTTAAAATACAGATTTTAGGCCAGATGTGATGTATGAGAAAAGGGAGGAGAGGACAGAGAACTAGGAACCAAGCATTAAAGATCTGGGAACTTCATTCTGCACAACAAATAGCACAGGCTATTGTGAGTTAAGATCAGCATAATCCCTCTTCATATACAGAACTTTTAATGTGCTGGTAGAAATTTAAATATCCTGGAACATCTGCAGTTAAGGTTGACTGGAGGTTTCATATGAAAAGTTGTTCAGCGGCAATGTGGTTTCAACTAAAAGAAAAGTTATATTAAAAGCATCCACTTCCTAAGGAAAAGCTTGACATATCTTTAAGAAAGTTTAACAGCCTCAAATGGTTTTGTCTTTCAGAGGAAAATGGAAAATCTTGACAGATGATTTTAGTTGTCGTTCTAAGATCAACATTGTATGAAAGGAAGAAAATTAAAATTTTCCAATGGACTCCATTTGAAATGTAATATTTGACAAGATGCGATATATGACAGTGAAGTCCAATTCTGAACATGTGTGTGCACATGCACACACCCTAACTAAAGACTAATAAGGAATTTTGAAAATAACAAAAGACAAATTATATGTTATTTCTTGCATATGCAAAGTGAATGCTGTGCATTTTGGGATGGGGGGGGTCAGTGGACATGCCTCTAAGACCAGTGGGTATAAGTTTTATCTGGGCAGAAATAAAGCCTAGTGACGGTAGTGGCACAGAACTTAAGGGATCAGGAGCTCACTCACACCAGTGATAAGTGATGGCTGAGCGCTCTGTTTTCAAATCTTTTCCCCAAAAGAATTTCTCATTCAGTAGTGGTGAATTTCAGCACTTTTATTGCTTTTTGCTACCCTCATGTCTGAAAACTTGTGGAGGTCTTAAAAATTCCTAAAAGGCCAATAATGCCAGTAATCGCATTCACAAAATTTCATTGTGTGATTAGCTGTAAGAAATAACTTTTGCTTCAGAGAAGTTCGGCTATATGGATAAAGAGCTTTCTGAGCTACCACTTTAGTCCTTTCCTTCAAAGTAATGTTATGCTAGGAATTCTACTCTTGTCAAAACCTGGAGGGTGTCTCTGATCCTCATTTACTGAGAAGACTTGGACTAGAAACATTATAATGCTTCTTAGTCTGGAGACAGAACATTGCTTGGTGTGCTGGCTGCTGCTCTGCTGAGACAAATACATGGTGTTTGCAGTATGACCGAGCTAACATAGCTGTAACCACATAGTTTTATTAACTGTGTAATTACTGCCAAGTGTGATAAGTATTTCCTGTAAAAAGCACTTCCTCTGCCCTTGTACTGACTGAATATGGTTTTCAAACACTCGTTTTGTACAATCTAAAGTAGTAGCTAACTTGCCTGGGCTTCTTGGAATATTAGATGGTTTTTAGATATCCAAAGCTATATAGTTTGGCACTATCCATGAGGAAGAAAAGCCTAGGTATAAAACCACGTGCAAAGCTGAACAGGTATATATTCCAGATGTATGCAAGTGTGGCTCTAATGCATTGGATGAGGATCTTACATCTTTCCATATAAATAGAATGCCTTATGTACTTTTAGCATTGCAGGAATTCGTATTTTTGAATCTCTGAGTTCCTGACTTGAGGTTTTCTTCCTATTCTGCAAATGTTCTGCAAATGAATTCTTTCCATTTGCTAATCATCTAGGTATGACATGTGTTTTACCTGGATTTTAAAACCATGATCTATATTTGGTCTTTTCTTTGAGAAGTGTGTATGTTCAGGTTTCCAGGTGTCAAAATGCCCATAAGCAAAAGAAAACCCCTCTGTTTTCTCCATCAGCATATATTTCCAGAATACTTACAGAATGCTAAAGGCAGACTAATAAAATATATAGTCAGTGCGGACTGGTGATTACTGATGATGCTAGCTTTGCTCTTACTACTTCTCACTTCATATTGTCCACTGTCTTGGCATGGTTTGACCTCTCTGCACTTCTTCACCACCTAACCTATACCATTTTCATCATTTTTTTTAATTTGATTTTTCTCCCCTTTTCTCACTTCCTGCTTGTTTCGTTCCGTCCACGTGGTAGAAGTATATAAAGATGTACACAGGCGGAGTGAGCTCTTTGGCTGAGCAGATAGCCAATCAGCTTCAAAGGAAAGAGCAACCCAAAACCCTTCTAGACAAGAAGGAACTGGTAAGACAATGTGCAGAAGATGCTGCGTGTTTGTGATTAGCTCTGCTGTAGATCTGGTGTAATGTGAGTGTCCACCTGTTAACTACACCTGATGGTATCTGTAGTAGCTTTGTAAAGACTTCCCTTCCTCCTTCCATCCTCATTCTTGTCCTCATTTTCCTTGCAAATGTTTGAATCTGGTGTTAATGACCAAGGGTTGTGCATACGCCTTTGAGAAACTACTTGCCATGTTCATAAAGATGTGCTTGATCCACTGGGGCTAGTATTGCATTATTGTTTCCTGGGGGAGAAATCCTCTTCTGATAATGTAGGTCTGAGAATGGTCATTTGAGGGTTTTTTGATGGTTTTGCCTTTCCATTGCATTCCTCCTATGGGCATTAATTTCAAGGACAGCTTTAACAGTACTTGTGCCCACTCCTCCCATCCAGAGCTGCAGTTTGCTACTCATATAGGTAGGCCGGCTTCCTAGGACCTGGTTCTCTCGACATAAAGGTTGGTTTTTGGTGTCCCAGCTAAAGCTGTGAATTTTGTCAAAGAACTGCAGCATCCAAATGCTCCAATGTCCAGACAGATGAAGCAAAAATGCGACCATGGAATCTTGGTGACGTTGGACACTCATAAATGTGCCCACTTCTGTCTAGGGCTCGCTCAAAAAGGAGTTCCCTCAAAACGTGGGAGGCAGTGATGTCTGTTACTTCTGCCACAAGCGAGTCTACGTGATGGAAAGACTGAGTGCCGAGGGCAAGTTCTTCCACCGCAGTTGCTTCAAGTGTGAATATTGTGCCACCACTCTGCGCTTGTCATCTTACGCCTATGATATTGAAGATGGTAAGAGAAATTGCCTTTATGTCAGAATTATCTTAGCGCTCATGTAAGTCTGTATAGAGAATTCAGCTCTTTGTTCGTTTATGAATTATTTGATGAGTTGGAAAAAGGAATAACTATTCCTAAGACACCATCTCTCATACTGTTGAAACTATATGGATCTGTTCTGTGGCAGATCATGCTAGCAGCAAAATAGTAGTGCTATTAGGAATTAATTTAGTATGAAAAACTAGCTCCTGGAAGGCAAAGAAACAAATAGTTTTGGGGGGCTTTAAAAGAGTTTTGGGGCTGTTGTTGAAGGCTAGATGATTTACGCTTACTTCGGTACTGTTAAATGAGAAAACTCCTTAGTACACTGTTTAAAAGCATTTAAAAGAATATGGCATGTTGGAGACTTGCAAACAGCTTTGTTCTTGTTGAAGAGATCACAACAGCCCAACTCTGTACATTTATTTTTGGCAGTTATAATAGGAACTTTATAATCGAGGGCTTTGTAATACTGGCTCATTACAGACTGAGTTATGTTATTATACTGAATGATGGAGCCTGGAAGCTGAGTAGAGGTGAGTGAATGTTATATATGGAGAAAGTTTTGTTGAAGTTGTTACTAAAGATTCAGTGATTACTCTTGTTTGCTCTGTCTGCTAGCCTGAAGAGGAGGGAATATGATTACAGAATTTGCTGATGTCTCAGCTTACAGAGTCTAACATAATTAAAGGGAGCTTTAGATATACCGAACAAATCTGAGAAACTGGATGATGAGGCAGCAGATGAAACTCAATCCATCATTGACTGTGCAAAGTGTGCCTATTGAAAGGAATGAATTTTAAATTACAACTCCTTTAAGGAGTAATCAACTTTAAAAAGGTGATTTTTAATATGTTGCATTCTTTGAGCAATGGCTGTCATAAATTTTACATTTTTTGAAGAAAGAATAAAGGAGAAAGTATCTCAGATAAACCTTTATGCATATCAACAGGATTGCCTTTGCCTTCCTTCACGGCTGCCATTTATCTTTACTCTGTAAGAAAACAGCGAAAAATTAATGAAGCTCTAGTGAGAGGTTAGATGGAAAGAATTCTGCACCAGAATATTAGGTCTGTTTAAGAAGACAGAATAACAGAAAAGTGATAGAAAATCAATCCTTTTCCCCACGTACTGAGGTGAAAATGAAGTAAAATTCTAAACTGACATGATGCGGGATGAAACTCCAGAATATTCTGCTGCAGATTAAAAAGTGAGTAATGTGATAGATAGGTAGACACTGCACATAGCTATGTAGAATCTCCTCGAAAACACTGGGTAGAGTAATAGCCATAGAAGCATCACTGAGACGTAATGGGCAAAAAATGACTAAAATAATGTACGTATTGATGATGAACTGTATGGCAGTCATGAGTAATGGACTTGTTTGGTCACAAAAAGAGTTGAGGAATCTTAAAATTATCTAACCAATCTCTCAGTAAGGAATAGAAAGCCCATTATTACTTGGCCAGAAGGTCAGCAAACATGGCTTGAGAGTTTAAGGAGGTCAATGGCAATTTGAAGCTCAATATGTAAAAAGAGTAGTAACAGCTTCATTAGTAATTAGTTTTGGGAAAAAAAACGGTTTTGGGGCAGTGTTGTTATTTTGGACATTAGGAAATACTTGAGTATCTGATTGGATGTTTAGCCGTAACAAACTGAACTCTTCTGTCAGCTGTATGGGCAGAAATACTTGTGCTACTAGCTTTAGTGATTCGCCTGGTAGCAAGCTTATGTACATAGTTATGTTCTGATTGTACAAAACATGGAGTCTCAGCACACCTGTAGCATTGATTCCTACATGCCTAATAGTTTCATGAATGTGTATATGAACCAGACATGTCCTAACACTAATGCGTATCCTCTCTAGTCCAACCATTGTTTCTAAAAATTTAGTTCATGTTTCATTCTGGGTTTTCTTTGACAGAAAAATAACAAAGCTGTAGAGACATAGTTACTATTCATCTAGCTGTGTGTGTGGACTGATGAGTCAGCGCTGTACAGTCAATGCCTGGTTTTAGGCACTGAAAGCCCAGTTCTTATATAAATTTAAGAACGTTTTAGTTGTTGCTCTTTTCATAAATTTTCCCTGAAACAGACAATTGGAGAGAATAGTATTTAGAAAGAGTCAGTACTAAGAAAAGTTTATTCAAGCATAGATATCTCGAAAGAGGACTTGAAATGCATTAGCAAGGGTGTAGGACTAGGATAGCACTACAGGAGGCTGCACACTGATGATATATAGAGGTACATTGGAAGATGACTATGCCTTCAGTTTGCTGCTCTTATTGTTTGTGTTAGGGAATCACTAGTGTTCTTTCTTCCTGACAGTGTTCGGATACTGGTGAAGGCCCATTTAAACCTCTGGGGTGATACTAAATTAGTAGTATCACAGAGACTGTGAAATTGCGAAAATGGCTCTTTGGTTGAATGTTCTTTTCACAAGCAGCCACTGTGCATTTTGAGATGGTTCTTTGGGAGTTAACACTGTCCTTTCCCACTTTCCTCTGCTGGTTGCATTCATTCTTGCTTTTTCCAAAAGTGCTTCTGCCAGCTTTTCATGTGATGGTTTCTTTGTTCTTCACACACTGCCGCATTGTTAGCGTGTGATACCACCCAAGCCTTGCAGCTTTGCTTTGGTGTTTGATAGGACATTAGGCTAAACGGCTGTCGGGCACCCAATGGAAAGCAGCTTGGCTAGGAAGGGGAGAGAGGAGGGCTGGAGTTAAACTGTAGAGTGTTTGTCTGTATGCACAGTGACTAAACCAGGCAGAGCAAAGGGAATGGCAGGAAAGAAACTCCACTGAGATGAACATTTATATTTTGTTAAACTACTGTGCTTTTGTTGTTAATCTTCTTTCCTGTTTCATCTGCAGGTAAATTCTACTGTAAGCCTCACTACTGTTACCGACTCTCTGGTTATGCTCAGAGGAAGAGGCCAGCAGTGGCTCCGCTGTCAGGAAAGGTAACTGTTTCTTTTCATCTAACATGTCAAGTTAGTACATTTTCATTCTTAACATTAAAAATGGAATATCCTGTTTCGTAATTTTGCATCAAAATGCGTCCAACTCTTTTGTTTCTCATGGGGTTTTGCTGTTTTGTAAATTTAATATAAGAATTTGCCCTATAAGCACTGCTTTTCTTTTCCTGATTGCTTCTATAAGATAATACAGTGCACCTTTCAGAATAGGATTTTTATTTGTTTTCTTGTTAAACTAAAATCCTTATTGACTCCATGCAAAGACTAAAGGCATTGTATTTACAGTTTCATTTTTGCTTTGTTTCCTTAGTGGTTTTCCATAAGATGAAACAAATATTTTTCATTTCTTTTGGGACATGCAGTTCCAAATCACTTGCAGAGGCGATAAGGACCATAAGACCTGCCTTCTTTTCTCATGGTTAGCTGTGTATTAGTGGGAACCTGTATGGGAAAAGAGGATATGATTTTGCTCTTTTGTCATTATCGGAGCATTTGTACTTCAACCATAGAGAAAGGTCTCCCTGCTTTTGCCTTTACAGTCCAAGATGTATTAGACATAATTTCTCTCCTCATCTACATTTTCAATGTTTTTGCATACTCTTACTCTAAACAAGCTACATGGTATTCAGCTTGCATTCAAGTACTGTTAAGCTTGCATGCAGCCGTCCTTCCTGCTTAGATTATTTTTTTTTCTGGTTGTGATTGTCTTTCTGCCCTTTCCTCAAATTTTTTCGCTACCAGCTAACTGTACTTTGTTTGGAAAGGTACAGGAACCGTCCCAATATTGGTGCCACATTTCCTGCACAAAATAAAGAACAAAAATGAAACTTGTTTTGTTTCCCAGATGAAGAGACTTCAGGGTCTCACTGCTTTGATTTTCTTGGACATCCAGATTGTTTATCAGAGCTTTAGCCAATCTAAAAGTTGAGATGGAATATATTTGATTCAGACTGTATCTATCCAGTGATTAAGGGCTATCTTAATTTTCAGGGTATATTCCTCATTCAGTGTTGTCTGCACTTATTGCCTCACATGAAGAAAAAAAATATTTTTGAGGTATTTTCAATTTTAATCTGATTTTAATATATATATATTTTTACCCCACTTTTATAGGACACCAAAGGACCTTTGCAGGACACCATGGCAAGTGATGGGAATGGACGGGCAAATTCCATCTCCGCCTCAGCAGAGATGACCCCAGGTAGCTCTGCTTCCTTCTTTGGCAGGGTGGTGCAGTACTCTCTCGGCCTCTTTGACAGAGTTAGGGTGGCAAGCCAGCGCCTGCAAAGCACAGTTTCCTCGATTGGGCACCATATAGCCCAGAACCCTTTGGACTCTTTTTTCATGTGTCAACTGATGGCTTTTGGGGTTCCCTTTCTCTATGTCCAGTCAGAAGTTCTTGTGCAGATCCTAGGCGAATTCTGTGGGCAGCCTGCTGACCACTAAGAATTAATGTGACCCAACTTTGTAAGCTGTATACCTCCTGTGATTTTGGGGTACTGTGTGAATTTGGGGTGTTTTGTGAAAGTCTCAATATATTGTTTCTCACTGTGGCTTTGGGGTCTGGATGTATTCAGTCCTTTCAGGACCGTATCTGAAATAATCCCAGGAAAACACAGATACTCCAGTAAGGGTGTCCTCTGACTGGGCCCAGATAAAGACACTTAGTCTGTAATGTCTGCACTGCAGTGTTGATGTTAAAAGTCCCTCCTGGACTGGAATAATTTAACAAACTGGATTTCTGTGTTCGCCTGAATTCTGGGTGTTGTTTCTTATTCTCCTCAGCTTTCCTTCATTAATCTGGTACTTGAATAGGAAAGATTCTGTTACCTCTGGGTTGTATCTCCTTTAGACTTCTGGGTATCTTTGACAGCTAATGGGATCGGATTCCTTAAAATTCCTTGAATTTCATGGTGCTGGAGGTCATGGTGCTCCCCCCTCACTGCCAGAATTTGTGCTGCTCTTGGCCATGGCTTTGGGGATTGGGTGGTGAATGTGTGTCTTCCTGTAAAGTATATTTGGCTCTTAACTTAAAATTCTAATTCTTTCTAACATGAGAGAAACGTCTGTGCTACAAATGCCCATTGGCCTGGCCCCTACATTTTCATTTAGTGATGTTGGAAAAAGGAAGAGATTTGATTTCTAGTATCTGCCCAGAACACTATGGAAGAACTAAATCAGTTCATTTTAGGAGAGGGAACATACTGGATAACAACACTTTTAGAAAAGAATGTCCTCACAGTGCTAGCTGAGCAAAAAGCCTTACCAGCATACAGGCAGATAAAAGTCACGCATGTATGTTTGACTTTACATATCATTCTTCAAGTGTTTATAAGACTGCAACCGAATATAATCAAACACAAATTTGTTTTACTGTATGCAGTTGGTTCTTGAAGCATAGTTACTTGGACAGTTTCCTTTTTTGTTTGTGTAAGATTTACGTATGACAGGATGGAGGAAAGGAAAAACATACTGAAAAAATGCCACTTGTAAATGCTATTTTGTAGCTGAGATTTCGTATTATTTGTGAAGTAGATTCTAAGTATGCAGGTGGCGTAACTACAGCATTTTTATATAACTAGTTAGAGTTAAAATTGCTTTCTGTAAAATCAATTTCTCTTTGAGATGAATGGAAGGATATTTCTTAGAGCTGTTATACATGGAGTATCTCATATAAGTGGAAGGCAGCTTATGGGGTGAAGCTGCTTGTATAAGAAGTGAAAGAAAGAGAGTTTAGCTATGTATAACAATTAGCTTATCAAAGCAAGTGCTGGCAGATCTTCTTCCTCTAGTTTTGTCATTCCAACTGATTAAATTTAATTACTCAGTTGTAAATGAGCATTCAGTAAATATTATCTCAGCTAAGTCATAGGCCATAGTTTGCTATAAACTTCTGATCAGATATTTCTAGCTCTCCTTATGTAATGATGGCACAATCCTGTAGCAGATCTGTACTCTTTCCAGAGAAGGATGCTCTTTCTATCAAAGTTTAAAACTTGAAATATAGGGTTTCTGTTGGCTGTCTGATTTTTTTTATAGCAGTGCAAAATTGAGGCATCATTTTTAAAGCTTTTGGCTCTCTTAAAGCTCTACTTCTTGTAGTGCACAAGTACATTAAAATATACTCAGGTTAGCTGTGTCATGTTAGGTCATCCTCAAGGCAGTGTGCTGTGTTGCATGCTCATGTGTGCATGATAGAAGTACCTTTCATGGTGAAAGGGTAAGCACTGCCATTCTCCCCTTCCTGCCAGAAAAAAAATGCCGTTTGTAGCTGAGATTTCCTATTTTTTGTGAAGTATAAGGTTCTAAGTATATCACTCTAAAACTCCTGGGAGTCAATTAAGAGATGGGCAGAACTGGCTAAATGCAATGCACTTGAAAAGCAATCTGCAATTTCAGTCATCTGTGATGTGTTTACAGTGCTGTATGTCTTGGGAAAAAAAAAAAAGGAAAGAAAAAAATTAACTTTTGAATTACTAAGCTTGATATTACAGTGAAATAATAGGATATTATTCCTGAATAATGAAAGGGAGACTGTAAGATTATATCTATGTAACTACTGACTTTGAACTATCTTTGTGTATACCTTATTTCAGTTTATTGAATGGTGTGTGTTACAGACCTTAGACATTCTACTTGCACTGTAGAATAGACCAATACCTTAAGCACAAACCTGCTTGAATCTGAGATAGAGGTGGAGCCCTGTTTCCAAGCCTTCTCTTTGCCTGTCTGAAGGACTCCCCAAGCACAAATTGTTTGTCTGAAAATGTTTTAACTTCCCTTGAGGCAAGTGAAGGGCTATGAAATTTAGCACTGGCAGTATCTGACCCTGGAAGTCTGAACTAGTTTTGTTAGTGTGGTAAATGCTGAATTAGCCTATGTGTGGAGTGTAAGCTGCTTCTAAAGAAGTAGATGTACAAAATGCACAGGTTTGGCATTTGATGGAGATAACTTAGAAGGCAAAGGAAAGTTGTGTGACAGGAACACTAATCAAAGGGAACATGGAGGACAAAAGTGCCCTCCGTTCTTCAGTTTTATACCCTCTGAGTTAAATTCAGTCCTGAGTTAGCAAAGTACTTGTTCAGTGGGCATTTGAGGCTTTGAGAAAGGCGCATGGAATACCAAATGAATGTAAAGTGCATGGGTTTTCCCCTTACAGTCGATACCTCTTTCACGCTGCCAGTCAGTTTAGCTTTTTTTTTTTTTTTTTGGACAGCTTAGAGCTTAAACTATATGCAAACCCCAAATAACCTTCAGTAAGTGTGATCAGCTGAGATAAGATCAGTCACAACAAGCACTTTCTTGTGGGATGTCACTAACCTGACTGGCATGTGTTAACTTTGCTAAACAGGTCAGTCCCTCGTGTGTCAGTCCCTCACTGTCTCAGCTGGTGTTAAGTGTTTTTTGTCTATCTATTGTATTGCAGTCACTATATTTGTAGGGCACAGTCTCTGATGTGCAAGTTGAGAATTTTTAGTAGTCAGCTGAAATCACCATCATGTGAAGCTTTTGTCTGGTTTGCCCAGGAGCCTGTATGGCACCTTACCTTAACCTGTGATAGTTGCAAGGAATGTTTAAAGGCAGATTTTATTCAGGCTGGCTTTTGCAGTACAGATCAACCCTTCAGCTGGGGACACGGTAACAAGCTTTTGAGCGATGCCTTCTCTCCTGGGAAA